AAGAGCTGACAAAACAGAGAGGTAGCCTGCTTATTAAAGGTAATTTAATAAAAAAGCTACACAGCACCACTAAATAAATCACCATACTTTGACCAAATAGAAAAAGCAAAACTTTGGAAATTGATGCTTTAAACACTGTTGTTTTCCATGCTGGCATTCATTAAGGTTTATATGGATCTCATCAGTATGCAATTCTGTTTGCAGAGGTTACTTTCAACTTAAATGATGCTAGACAACTTCACTACTTAATCACAAGAAAATAAAGTTAATTTATTAAATTGAATTTGCTGTATCTGCCATCAACCACAAGTAGGATGGAACAAATCAGACCAAGAAAGTGCTGATAAAAAAATACATTATCTTAATTACTGCAATATACCATCACTAGGCAGGGGAAAGAATTCTGTGAAGGAGTGATTTTTCCCTAATAGTGTTAGGGAACTGATAATCATAAGTCTCATACATTAATGCAATTCTTAACAGTTTCAAGAGTATAGTCATCAACATCTTACTGCAAACCATAGAGTTAAAAATGTATTGAATATTCTATGGAATATTACAGAGAAAATGAGATGCACCTGCTGAAGGTTGTGATTCCTACAGAAGTTGCAATTGAAAATAAAAAATAAAATGTTTGGCAACTGAAGCTTTGCTTCAATTTTCATAGTTACCACAGAGGGGTAACTGAAGACTGAATTTGGGTTTTGTTAACAATTTGGAAACACTGACATACAAAAGTGGCATGCGTTGCAGCTCAAAGGAATCAACATATGCAAACACCCACATGCTGGCATTGAGGTTCCTATTTCTGGGACAAAAATAATATTCTTAAATAATGATTTTCTTCCTTCTACGTCAGTCATCTGCCTTAACCAGCCCCAAGCCTGTAATGCTCACTCCAATGGAGTGAGGAATCCATGGACAGCACACTGCCATGGCTGAGCAGAGCCCTGAGGGCAGGTCCCAGCTCTCCCCAGAAGCACAGCTGGTCAGAGCTGCACCTACAGAACCTCTCTGCACAAAAACCACATGGACACATCCCCAGAAGAATGATCCTGATCCCTCCACTGTAAATTAACACATGGAGAGTCCTTGGACAGAGCAGGAGATCTGCTCCAAACCCTCACAAACCCAAACCAACAGAGTCACTGCTGAGCATGGAGCACTCAGAGCCCTAAGCCCAGCACACTCTAAGTGCAGCTGTAAAACTGGATCAGCGCTTATTTTAGGCACAGCAGAGCAAAGGTGTCTGAAACAAAGCTGTCAGTCTGGGCAGAGCAGCAGCACGAGATGGAGAGAGAAAAGGAAACAGGTACAAAGACAAATGACAGGGGAGGAAGAGAAGGGAAAGGGGAAAAGGAAAGAAATAATAATCCAAAATGAGATTGGTCTGAAGAGCTGGGCATGTTTTCCTGCACTGAAAAAGACAAGAAGCCACCAAGCAGACAGTACCCACTGATTTTGCTGTTGGCCATGGGTAGAGATGAGCCAGGCTCCCCCCACTAACCCTGCACTGGAAACTGGGGACAGAAGTGCTGTAAAAAAAGCAAATAAAGAGGCTCAAACAGGCCCAGCACTTCCAGCAGCACGTACCCATAACTTGGCTCCCACTCTGCAGGAAATGCCACATGCAAAGGAATCTTTGTGTGCAAAGGTATTTTTATGTGCTGCTTTGCACTGCAATCAACCCCAAGCAATTGCTGTGCATCACTTCTCTGCACAGGCCAGGTGAGCTCCATCCCTGTCACTCCAGTGGGCAACATTTCTGCACTGTATTTTTTCTGAAAGCACAATGCAAATATTTAATCACTGGCTTTCCAGATCTCTGCCATGGGGCTTCTCTTTGGCTGAAGAAGGCTCCAGAGATCATTTAGTTAACCGTGCACACGGATGGAGTTTCTCAGCTGCAGCAGATGAAGCAATGAAGCTGGAAAGAACAAACTCTAAATCACTAAATTATAAATTAACAAGATGACCTAAGGAGTAAATATTTAGAAGAGCTCACTGAAGCCTTAAGGATAGGAGCATCATGACTAATTATTCCAGTGATCATTTAAAAATTGAGTTAGGAAAGATCAGAAACAAGAGAAAAATAAATCTCACCAATTACACACATAAATGCAGATTAATGCCATATGACTAGCTACCACATGAATATGCAATGCACTTATTAAAATGTTAATACAGCATCACAGACAATCTGATTTTCATTTTTAAATAGTCAGCTGTAGAAATGAAAAACTGGAGTTCTTTTTCTCTGACTTCATAATTCAGAAGTAAAGGTGACTTGTTCAGAGTATAAAAAACACCAGTGAAGTTAAAGGGTGGGATTTAGTAATTGTAAGCAGCAATAGAAAACTAAATTCAATGACCAAAACTGGTGTGTTGTAATGACAGAAAAAGTTCTTAAAAACAAGGCCAAAAAATCCCCAAACAAGAAAAAAAGGAAATAAACATTGAAAAGCTAAAACAATTAAATTGTTACTTCAGTGCAGAGATTTTTTTTTTCAGTTGCACTGTGTGCCCAGATTTCATTTTGCAACTATGAAAGCACTGTCAGTCATAAAAGAATAATAAATTGTTTATAACATAACAAAAAGTAATTAATTAAACAACTCAGAAGGCTTATTTAAGCTAATCTCCATAGTCACATAATTTCTCATCATTTGTTTCAAAAAGGAACTCCTACCACCTCTTGTTTGTTGTTATTCAGGACAGCAGAAGTGCCAGAGGCTGCAGCAGAGCTGAAGGTAATTAACGCAAGGAGGAAAAGCCACAGAGGAAACTCCAGCCAAAATCTCAGCCCCCCAGTCTGCCCAGCAGCAGGGAATGGCAGGGCTGGCAGGCAGACATGGCCACGGCACAGGCACACAGAGCACAGGGATCAGCAATATCAGCACCAGGAGGGGGTAAGCCCAGTCAAGGGTTAGAGTCAGCCAGGGCAGACAGATCCCTCTCCAGCCTCCTACTTCCCCTGGTTAATGTTAAGAATAAAAATTCTGTGGATTTGGATGACAGCCATCACTGACTATAATTTCAGACCACTGTACCAAACCTCAGACACAAAATAAAGCTAATAAAGGTTTATTTTGTACAGCTTTCAGAGGGACTTGAGAACCAAGTCTGTTTAAAACACCAGTGAGGAAGGAGACATGCAGAAGATGCGACTATCGTAACACACAGTTTTGCCTTTGTATTTCCACACCAGATTATAGATCTATTTCTGAGCAGAAAGGAAGTAAGGCAGATATCTCTGCCATTCAACAGTGTGGGTGTAGAGCTGTCCTGGTTTCAGCTAGAATAGAGGCAAATTTCTTCCTGGCAGCTGGTGCAGTGCTGCACTTTGGAGATGTGGAATAACACTGACAGCACAGTGACACCTGGGCTGGTGCTGAGAGTGCTCACCTGCAGCCAGGGGCTGGTCAGAGCCTCTGAGCAGGTGCACAGGGAGCTGGGAGGGAGCACAGCCAGGACAGCTGAGCCCACCTGGCCAGGGCATTTTCCACACCCAGGAACATCATGCCCAGGATACACACTGGGGCTGATGGCTGCCTGGGGAATGGCTGGGCATTGGTCAGCAGCTGGGGAGCAATTTTACTGTGCATCACTTCTTTTTCTTGGGTCTTAGCCTCTTTCTCTCTTTCCTTTTCATTGCTTGTACTGTTGTTGCTATTATTTTATATTATTTTACTTTATTTTGATTATTAACCTGCTCTTATCTCAACCCATGAGTTTCTCTTCCCCATCCCAGGGAGGGAGGGAGGGAGGGAGGAAGTGGCTGCATGGTAGTGAGCTGCTGGCTGGAGTTAAACCAAGACAAGGGTATTTGTGAAACACTGGCTCTTTTGCAATTACCCTAAGTCATGAAATGTTGCACTGAACTGTTTTCTTTTGAAATTATCTATTACCTGGGTATTGCACATCACTGTATTCAGACGTGCATGTGACAAACACTTTATCCATTCCATTCATTTTATCCATTCTATCCATCCACTAGTCTAGTTCTTAAGACTATTAAATGAATGGATAGCTGACTTCAAACATGAAGATTTTATAATTTTCAACCCACTCCCCACTTGCCTCTCTCACCTGCAGCATAGCTTAAGGGCCACCACAAATAATCCAGAGATCTTTCACTGTTTTACGTGATTAATTTGATCATGAGCTGTATTGCCAACAAGGAAAACTATAGCAAGAGCTTGAAGCTAACCAGTGAGGATAGCAGGAGCATCCTGCTAACAAAAGAGCACACAGTAGCCCAAAAGACCTTTTTCCTAGAAATGCAATATTTCAAATGAAATATTTCAACAGCTCCCCTAACTTCAGGCCCTTGGGGCCAAGGGGAAGAAGTTCCTGCTAACCACTGCCCTTGGGTGACAAGCTCATTTTGATGCAACATCCAACAGAATGAGGATTTCCTGCACAGCTGTTGCAGTGTCCTTGGAGACTCAGTTTCCAGGCACTCTTTGCAATCCTCCCTCTGCTCCCTCTTAATTCCAGTCAACAACAGCCACAGACAGATTACATAGCTGGGACATTACGGGACATTACTGACACAGCCAGGAGCCTATAATAGCACTCATAAGCCCTGTGATTTCTTTTCTCTTGTCAGTATCACACACAAGCACAAAACAGCTGAGAACCTGGCCCTTTTCTCTCTAATAATCCACTGACAACTAAAAAATCTCTTTATTTTGGTAATCAAATTTAAAAAAAACCAATCATATAAAGCACAGGGCTAATTTTAGACCTGAATACTGACAAAATCCGTGGTAATTCCTGCTAAGTGTCAGTGGCCATGATCTCCACAGCATTTATAAAGCTTTACTGTTCATTAACTTAAGCAACTCTTCCCCTTGTGAAATGTACTAAAACACTGGATAAAAGACAGACATTGCAAAATATTTCACAAGCTATAAATTAAAGAGAAGAGCATCAGCCAGAAACTTTGTTTTATTGCTCTCAGAAAAACAGTGACTTCAAGACTCTGGTCTACAAACCTGGCCATCTGCTTGTATGCCTCCTCAGCCACTGCAAAGATGTGTGGGTCCATATCCCCCATGTTCTGGCCACTGTAGGCATTGATGATGTCTTCTCCATAGATAGGCAGTTGTTCATAAGGATTTATGGCCACTAAAACAATACCTGCAAAGGAAATTAAACAAAAAGAATTAATAATAGTTGTTTCAAAAAAAAAAAAAATCCTAGCAAAAATGGTTTTAATATCAAGTATTGTTCTAATCTTTCTAAAATGTTAAGGAACAAGGATCTGATATTACTGACTTCAACTGATATTTATTCTGAATAAAGTTCTGCACATACAAAGTGCCATGAGTTTACTTCCACCCTGCTTTGGTAAACACATCAGGGACAACTTTTTACCTTTTCTAGCTGCCTTTTCTAAAGCTAGCATACACAATTCAAACAGATTCAGAATGTGCAGACTTGAAATACTGCTTGTTCAGTGCAGTAAACCAATGACTGTGCATTGTATTTCCCTGTGGTTTATTTCCCTGTGTTTTACTCTGAATTACCAGTGACACTGTAATTTGTGAAGTGTAACTGCTGGGTGCCCTCACTGCCTGCCAGTTTGGGTATGTGCAGCGTGTTAACCCTCCAGCTGTTGTGAAAGAGTGAAATCTTCAGTTTTTGTAATAAGCAACAATGTACAGTGTAATTTGGATTCCAGGCACCTCTGCCAATCAGGCAGGACAACCACCTGGTCAATGGAATGAAAAAACCAAACAGTAGATGTATTTCACAGGGCTGACACAAAGCAGCACCCAGTCAGGAAATTAGGCAATTATAGCCCTAGAAGGCACTAGAACATCCTCATCTGATATAGCTGAGCTTGTACTCACACCTCCCATTTCCTAGTTTTTCCCCATCAATTAAACACGTATCTGGTTTTTTAATACAACTCATCACTACAGCCCTTCTAAATTCATGCCATTCTTTAACTCTCCCTGCACAGGAAAACTTCAGTCTTACTCTTTACAAACTTCCTTGCCACAAACAGTGAGACCTCAAATGTTTTTGAGACAATCCTCTTTTTCATGAGAAATGAGGATTGCTCTACCCACAGGGATTATCTGACAAAGCTTCCTTATAACTTTCTCTCCTGCAGCATTTACAACAGGTAGGGAAAGTTTATTTGCTCTGTGCAGGGGTGGAAGCACTGACCAGTGAGAGCCAGCTGTGACAGGCACACTGTGCCCCCTGGACAAGGTGATAAGGCGAAAAAAACAAACCCTCTAATTTTAACTGTGGACATTTTAAAACCAGAATTTCTTCTTTTGGTGTCTAAGAGTGGCAATGCAGCTGCACAGTGACTGCACCAAGCCTGCCTGGACAATCCATCCCTGAAGAACCTGCCTCAGAAGCGTTTCCATGACACTCAACTTGCTTCTAAATTTACTCTGAAATTCACTCTTACACATACAGACTTCCTCAGTGCTGAGCCCAGCTCTCTGCAGATTACAATCTGGTGATGCCTATCTAAGAAATTTTCCATGGAAAAGCTGGGAGAAGGGAAATGAAAGCATCTACAGTCTGGCACTGCTGGGAGCATCAACCCATTTTTAAACCCTTTCATGCAGCTACAGATCAAGCACAAACCATAGCAAAAACATGAAACGAGAGGATATGTTTTAGGGAGAGAGCTGAGAGGCCTTGATCTATTTCCTCAAACACACAGCAAGTTTTATGCCTCGACACGCCCATGTGAGGAGAATTGGTGTTTTTCCATCAGCCACAACTTCACCGAAATGACTCCGGAGCTCCAGTGAAAAATCTCCATAAACATTCCTGCCAAGTTCTAATGCTGTACTGATGAACCAAAAAATCAGAGTGGGGGTTAGGGACAGAAGTGGCCTCAGTACTACTGGACTCAAGGAATATTTTGTGTGTCAATTTTTAACATCTGCCCTTAGAAAAAGCAATAAAAAGTGAAATACAGCGCACCACCAAGCTGAGCCTCTCAGGCCTGCAAGTCTCTTCAAAGAGACATTACAAAAATCTGTGTGAGACTTCTGACAATTCCCTCCTGCTTTGGTTATGCTGGCAAAAATAAACCCTTGAAATGGCAACAAGCAGCCCCATGATGAGTCTCCAGCACATTAAAACACTTCAGTAGCAATCTGTAAAATCTACAAGCAACTATCATCTGGAAATAACCAAAACAAGTGAGTCAGGAATTATTTGCTTTCTGTGGAACTTTGAAACCAGTCTGCCACACAGGGCTATAATCCAGATTAATTTACATATAACTTCTCTATCTCCACTAAATCATATTGCTATTTTAAGAAATATGGCCTTTCCTAAATCAGATTTATGTGTGGTTTTGTTCCTACAATTACACTAAGTTGAACTCTGGATACTCTGTGTGCCATTCTTCTTTATATATGCTCAAAGTCAGCCTATCTAATTCTTTTACCTTGAACCCACTCACCCATCTGTGGCCAAACTGGACATAAACATAAGCAATTCATTAATTTAAATTAAAGTTTGCTCTCCTGCATAGAAGGCAGTACATTTTACTAACCTGAACTAACTAGCAAGATTCACTGAGTTTTCACCACAGCAGTTTTTCAATATAAATCTTCAAATTTTCCTTTGTAACTTTTCAACTTCCTTCATTAATGCCTTGTTTCATGTTTCCAACAGTAAAGCAAAGGTATAAATCACCTCTGAATTGCTGGTGAAAGGCTGACTTGAAATTGAGAAATCAGTAGATTTTCTGTTTAAAAGTTTGAATTTACTTCAGTGTGAAATTTTGAAGAATTTAATATCCATTTGACATATTACACTGAGCACGGTTGAATTCATTTCTAGGGCACTGGACAACTCTCCATCCATTCATTCCTGTTCCAGTTCCACTGCTGAGAATACTGTTCCTGTGATTGTCTTGATGGATTGAAGTGGTTTGAGTCTCCTTTGGGCTGCATAACCTGGGTCAGCCCAAAGCACCCTCACAGGCTATTTGAACTGACCTGGCTGAGGTGAGAGTCACATTAAGGAGGCAAATGCAGCCCCCAGGGCTGAGCTCCAAGGCAATGATCTCTGCAGAGGGGCAGTAACCTGCAGCTGATGGAGAAGTCTGGAAGGTGATGCTGTGGCCAAAGGATCAGGATTTCAGGGGCTGACCTGCCAACTCTGTTTTGCTCAGCCTGTAGCACAGCACAGCCTTGCCTGCACCCTCAGAGGATCAAGCACTGCACCCCACATTCCTCAGCAGTGCTGAGCCTCCAGCACCTCCTTCCCTCTGAGCACCAGGAGCCCCACACTGCTGGCTCCACTCACTCCTGACAAACACCCAAGCAGCTCCCACAACCACCTGGGTCCTGTTTGGAAGCAAAACCAGCTGCCCCAGCTCTGCCATGCCAGGCCCTCTGGCAGACCAAGCATGGAGAGCTAAAGGAGCTCCTCCTCCCAGCCCAGGAGAAATGATCAAACCAGCCAAAACCACAACTACCGCTGGGGAATACTTGAAATGCACCTTTTTCATGTTTTCCCAAACACAGGGAAACACAACCAACAGACAGCACATTCTTTTTGAAAGCCTCTGAAACGCTGCTCAACACAGAGCCTGTCTGCAGGACACAGCCCAGACAGGCTGGTGGGAGGGGGCATGGTGGTGTTAGGGGACCATGAAACTGAGACTGAAAAGCCCTTACAAGCTCAGGCCATGAGGCTCCAGCTGCACAAAAGCCCTTTCACACAAGAGCTTTGCCAGGGGGGCACTTGGGAGAGAACCACAGATCATGTCTGTGTCCCATGGGGGAGCTGGGGTGGCTTCCCTGTGCTGGGACCACAATGCAGCCTCAGCAGGGGCTGCCCAGAGAGGAGATACTCAAACACACAGATACTTGAGCAACCTGATCTAGCCAGACTTGTTTCAAGTAGGAAGCTTCACTGAAGACTTCCAGAGGTCTCTTCCAACCCGAATTATTCTGTGCTCTGCATGGCTGGATGAGATGTGGTGTGAATCATCTCCCCCTCCCATGGGAGCGAGGTCTGGCTGCAAGCAGGGGGTGGCAATGTCTGGTCCAGCCCCCTGTGCTCTGGTCACTGCTGAGAGCAGCACTGAGCAGATGTGCCCTGCTGAGCATCTGCAGATCAGGAGCAGCCAGAGCGAGCAAACTGTGGCAGGATGTTAATGCCTCTGTCTGTCCATCACAACATGTTTAATGTGTTGCCTGCCTTATGGAAAAGTTATGTTAAAAGCTAGCAGTGTAGTTTGACTAAACACTGAGATTTAAAAGGAACATATGCACACATAGGAAAAAAAAAAGCCCAGAAGCATCAGATCTAAATTTCAAGCCTGAACTACCTCACAATGCTTATTTTTAACACAGACCATTCAGTTGCAATTTTGCACTTATGACAAAGTGATTATTTAAGTATTTTTCCTCCATTCTGGCCATCTGAAAATACCACAGGCAATTACAAGTTTAGGAAACCTCTGCTGTGAGTTAAATGGTTTTTTTTAAAACCAAGATCAATTGTAACTGTGATAAGACAAGCCTGGGCTCGTGAACAAATTCACTTCTGTAGTTGCCCAGATTGCAAAACATGAAAAAGAAAAGAAAAGAAATTGATGTCTTCTAAAAGAGATGGAGGAGCTCAGTGCAGAGGTAGGCAACAAATCCACGCAAGAGCAAGGCCAGCTCCTGCATCTGCAGCATGTTATCCTCCTCCCACCCAGCCCAGCCTGAGCAAGCCTACAGAGAACACCAACCACACAGGAATCCCACTGCAGAGCAAGAACTGCTGAATACACATTTTTTAAACAGATTCCAGTGGGGAGCTAGAGCAACACACAGTGAAGGCAATCTTCTCTGAACCTCAATATTCTCCAGTCCATTAATGACCACAGTGATTTCCCTAAGAACAGTCCAGCATCTCCCATCACTAAATGACTTTAAATTAAAGGCAGACATGGACAGACAGCTTCGCCCTTGCTGCCCAGGGCAGTCTCTGCAAGGCTGGGTGTGAAAGGCAGTACTTGCCACAGTAGGTGTAGATGAGTTTGGAGTCGATGAAGCGGACTTTGAGGTTGTGCAGGACAGCAGGCTCGTGCAGGTAGCTCAGGGCTGTCAGGTCGTTCTCACCAACCAGGATGTCGGGGTTCCTCAGGGGGGGCAGCTCCTTGGTCTTGGGGTCGAGGCTGTACTCTAGGTCCTGCAAACCACAAGGACACCTCAGAGAGCTGCTTCCCTCACCCAGCTCCTCCAGCTGCTCCTCCCACCAAAACATGACAAGGTGAAAAACCACAAGGCACAATTTCAGTTCTCTGGTGATTTGAGGTAGCAGACTTTCTGCAAAAATGTCATTTGCAACTTCCCAAAGGGGTTTTCTATATGTACAACTGTATAGAGACACTACCTTTTCAGACTATTATTTAAGCAAACCCCATGCTTTTGCTGCCATAGCTTTTTATTAAATAAACCAAAATACACTATATCATAAATCTAACCAGCTTTTCCCTATTGTTTTCCTCTTGAGTGGAACAGGCAGAAGAAGAAGATTTTCACCAATCTATCATAGCCAGCTTCATACACAGTAACACAACATGGGAATGCTGGCAGAAGACCATGAAGAACACAAACACTGAAAAAAATGCTGCTTAGAACTTTTTTCAGATATAAATTAATCTCTAATATAGATGTTCTAATTGCATCTGTCTCTAGATCTAAAAATCACTTTATTTACCTGCTATTTTCATAAAAAAAAAAACAACTCAAAGGATGTGAGCTGTACATGGACATGTCATCATTTCTCAACACAGCACACAGCATCTTCTTTGTAATGCCCTTAATCCTTTTTTATCTTTATTAATTTTCTGCTGGTTATGTTCAACTTAAAAGTCACAGTTATTTCCCTGCAACACTGTTCTCCTAGCAACCCTGTCTCCCTGGAATAGCAAACCAGGGCTATATGTTTAATGGCACAAGTAGAAAAAGATGACGATGCAACTGAGCATAACAGGCGGTGGATAAAAGCAACTGCTTTTTAACTTATTTTAAAAACAAGGCAGAATTGATTTTTGTAACTAAACAGTAAAATTTATCACACCAAAAAATGCTGCAGAAAGTGAGCGGACAAAACCAACTGCGCACATGTAAATACAGATATATTGTGACAGCAGAGCTTCCTGCAATAGAAAGGTCAGACTCTGGTTGAGAACAAGAACTATCAGCCTACAAACCATACACAGACTCACCTTGCCCTCTTCCAGCCGAAGCTGAAGGACTTTATCTCCAGGTTTATAATCTTTGAGGAGTTCTGCTGACTTCCACACCTCCTCTGGATCAGGGATCCAGACCCTGGCATACTGCAGAACAAAAACAACAGCAAAAGATCTGTGAGCTTTGGTTGAACTATGGTTAAATCATTGAAATGAATGACACTAAAAATATTTTTGTGTTTTTTTAAATACATGTTTAACAGACAACGCCTTAAGCAAGAGGCAAGTTAATTAGTACATCTGAGGTGAATAACTTGTTCTATTGATAAATGGCTGCACAAGCATAATTTTATTGCCTACACAGAGAGAAAAAGGCATTTTCCATGCAGAAGGTATTCCCAGATACACACTGAATGCTGAAAATCTACAAAGTAAAAAAAAAAATAAATCAGCATTTCCAGAAAGATCAAAAATTTGGCTATCCAAAAAGATTACTTGGAGTAACTCTTTTAAGTAGGTTCTAAATGCATTTGTAGCATAATATCATAGAGCCATTTTTGTTGTCTTTTTCCCCAAAGAGAATACTTCAACCCATCTGTGTTAATTTAGGCAAAGCTGCCTGACCAAGTGTTAAAAGCTCTTCCTTTGTAGTTACCAACATGGCTAGATTAAAATTTATTATATTCAGAATGCCAAAAGAAAAAAACCTGAAAGATTTAGTTGAAACGTCCTCCAGATATAAGGAAAAAACCCATCAACAAAGCAGATTGCTATTAATGACCATTTTCATCCAAACTTTATTCATAAAAGTGACACAGTGCAAACACACTATTTGTTTTCAAAACCAGCAAGCATATTCATACTTTCCAAAGAGTGAAGATACAATTGTTACCTCATATTCAAGAATCAATTAAAGATGTATGGAAAACTGGAAACCAGCTGGTCACTTACAGAGTCCCATGAACATGCAAATACACACACAGGAACACAGCTCTTGAGTAGGACAAGGAAAAGGCTGAGACATTTTTAATATGTTCAGGTTCCTGAAGCAATGCTCCTGCTATGCCTGGAGAGCACTGGGATCATTCCACAGCCACACCTGAGCAAACCAAGCAGCTTCTTGGCTCTGGAGGTGCATTCATGCACAACATTGCAAAACACTCTCACTCCACTAACTTATTTCAAAATAACTATGTTTTAATAACTATATTTGTCAAAGCATTTGATGGCAGAGAAAACTGCATTTGGTCATGCAGCTTCACCAACTAATCTTACACCAACTTCTTTGTGTACAGCTTCCTCTGCCTCAAAGAGTGCTGAAGGGTTTTTTCCCCTCTTATTAACCCAGTTTTCCCACTGGAAAATAGAAAAATAGGAACTGCTTGTTTCTGCTAGGCATTTTCTGAAAAACTTGATGAAAAATTTCATATTGCTTTCTTTTTGTATAAGAGAGCATGATAAAATGTGTTGAGCAGCAGGACTATGATATCAGGGTGTCCCCCACATGGCAAACATTCATAAGGAGGAACAATTGTCATATTAAAGGAATTTATACTAAAAATATATTTCATAATAAAAAGTATAATAAAAAGTACAATAAAATTTTATCTATATTTTCTAAATAAAAATATATCTATATTTTATATATAATGTAATATATTATCATTATTTATTAATAAAATAGTCAATATAATTATATAGTATGTTTTCTATATTAATATACAATTATAGTTACATTTTATAATTAAAAACTTACACTATATTACATTAATATTATATACTATATTACATTAATACTATATTAAAACTATGCTAAGGAAAAACCTGTGACTGTCTCCAGACACACACAGCTTTGAGTGATTGGTTAATCACTCAAAACAACTTTCACCTGTGTCAAATTAACAAATCACTTTGGGTAAACATCTCCATAACACATTCCACGTGTGCAAAAACAGGAGCAGAGACTAGAGATAAGAATTGTTTTCTCTTCTTCTCTCTGTGCTTCCAACTGCCTTCCCAGGAAAAACCCTTGGGAAGTTCTGCCTGCTGACTTCAGGAAACAACTTGTTTCCCATACCTGTGATGATCCTTAGGAACACTGCACATGGGGAATTTACAACAGCCTAAACCAATGGTTTTACCCTCAGCACATGGCAAAGCAGTGCCTTCACCCCCAGAGCTCCTGCACAGCTTGTGCCCACACACATAAACCAAGAGAAAGGAGAAAGAATGAAATAAATAAATAACAGCTCACTTTCATCATTCCCATTACAGAGTATATCATGCTCCCACACCTGGCCTTTCTCCATCACCACTGGGTGTTACTGCCAGCCCTAAGAATCCACTTTATACACAGACAAGGAGCTCTGCTCTTTGTAGTCAATTTGTGCTTGTGTGGCTTATTTTTTTCTTTGTGTTTTGTTAGTTTCATATGTATTTGCTAATGTTCTCAGTGCAGAAGTGCTACCTTACTTTATTAATTATATAATCTTTTCCCTACTCCCCAGGAGATAAAAGATTTGAAAAACAGAAGATGCCCAAAACAATTACTCAGAGTGTGCTGCTGCCAGTCACAGAGCACTGTGTAACCACAGAGCAAACAGCAGCAGAAGGCAGGGTTTGGGCACTTGGGCAAGCTGCTTTCAGCCCTTCTGGATCCCCAATCCACAAGGCAAGGAACTCTGGGGTGAAATGAAGGTTTGTGCTAACAAGTGTCTGTGTAATACAAGCACAAACCCACAAACTATAAGTCCAAAATTAAACAGGACTTGACAGTACAGGTGGCATATTAAAGTCAAGTAGCAGGCTAAGGAACAACGTTTTCTTTCCTTTCCACTTTGTTTGAAACAAAAGACACTTTGTAAAACTTCAGAAATCATACTCATGATTTCATATAATAGTAATTTCAAATCACAATTTCAAATCCTAAAATCAATAATTCATAAGATCCATATATTCAAACACAGCACAATACACCTGTTCTCAAAATTCTTTTATTAAAAAAAAACCAAAACACCAAAATAAAAAGCTAAAATCCAAAACCCTGTCAGAAATCAGGTAAGTTTTTCAGTTTAACAAAAATGCTCCAGCCTCAGACACAGCTGAAGACTGAGTGCATTCCACACTGTGACCAGGTTCCACCCCCAAGATGCAGCAGAACTTTCCCACCCCCAATATTTCTGATAGGATATTCCTTCCAAGGAATTAAGAGAAAGCAAAGTCAATGTGGAAGAGGAAAGCCTTTAAATGCTGTCTAGCAGAAGGAATCAGCAGGCTGCATTCCTTCAGGCTACACAAAGCAGAGTTTCCTGACCTAAGAAAGGCAGCAGCCTGACAGACAAATGCTGATAACCTGAAGCACCAAATGCTGGGTAGCAGTTCCTAACTCTGCAATCTGTGGCAGCATGGAACAGGCATCTTTAATTTATCCAGCTAAAACTGTACATCTAGAGAAGGGAAGGAGAAAGCAGAAAACAGATCACCATAGAAACTGAGCCACTACAGACAGCAGAACCTTCCATGACACAGCCCTACAGATACTGAAGCCATCCTATGAGCACCAGGCTGCAGCTTTTCATCTCCAGCACCAGTGCCTAGCCCTAAATCCCTGCCAAAGAAAACACCTGGTAAAAGGAATGGGTGGGAGGAAAGAGAGAGATGTTCCTAATTATAAGTACTGAATCATTTCTCAACATTCTCACCTCATTAACTGAGCAGAATGTTTTGCAAAATCAGATTTTCATGCTTTTATATAATCAGTTGATACTAAAATTCCATTGCTGCCTGGCCTTTACTGGGCTCCAACCCTACAGAGAAAAACAAAGCACCAACACTGGTGGAAACAGGACCAAGGGCCTCTCTTGGGAAATACCTTACTCTGATATCTGCTATTCATCCCTCTTTACTTACTAGTATATAAAAATAGGGTTTATGATTACATTAGAATAATGCTAAAATAAGATAAAATTCTAGAGCCACTGATTTACAAATCAGCCTTCTAAAAAGGGAAGGAAATTCTAGTTTAAAAATGACTGTGCTGTCTAAAATTCTAGTACTGAAATGACAATATAAATTACAGCAAGAATCAGATTAATTTTAGTTCAATCATCCTAATTATGATCCATGAATACATTACTCTTCTTGGGAGTTCAAGGCAAATTTTGCACCACCAAAATAAAACTTCTGACAGGGGAGATACAAGTATGACTTACTGCAGGAAAGAGCATGAAATAAAATTTTAGATAAATAATGCTTGACCTTTCATGTCAGCCCAAGTTTACCACTGGTGTCACTTGCACCTTATATTTCAGTACTGATTTGGCTCAAATAAATGAGATTTGCTATCCTCCTTCAGTGGGGGTGATTGTGGCTCAGCACTGGTCACTGGAGGGGCAGGATGGCAGAGGCTGGGGAGCACACACAGCACCCTACAACATCCTCCCACCCCACAGCAAAGAGCATCTCCAGGACACCTCTGAGCCCCAACCAGTCTGAAAGCCACAATAAAACAGAAGGGATACCAAGGAGATGTCCTGGAACTCAGGAGAAAAATAAATAATTAAATGCATAATGACAGGACTATTTCAGATCTCAGTTTCCTGCCCAGACTCTCTTCCAGCCTCAGCCTCACATAAAGAAACAGCATCTCCAAAATTCCCTGCAAGTGTGGAGTGCTGTACTTGGTTCAAGGAGGGACAAGCTGGGCAATAGTTTACAGACACCTATAAAGCAACTCTGAAAGAGTTCACAGCAGAAAACAAACACAGAAGTTTCCAGGTCTCACTGGTGGGTCAGAAGGTTGGCTGGATTACTACAACTTTACATAATGAGAAAATCAAATAGAAAATCACAGTATTCTGTCATACCTCGTGATTTCATCTTAGATCACATGAAGAAATCAGCAGACTATAACAATTATCTATCAAATGAGACCATCTGACTCACAAAGCCTCTCTCCTGAGCTATTAACCTCTTGAAGCACTAATTGCCATTGCTGACAGAACAGAATTAGCAATGCAGGCAGCTCAGCAGTCTCAGCAGCAGGCAAATAGTTCTGTACCTCCATTGCACAACCACAAGCACACAAGGAGGAGATACAGCTATCTTCCCAGCTCAACTGCTCTGTGCCTAACAGCTGGAAGAGTTCG